TAATTCTTTTTTAAAACTGCCTCGCGCCAGCCCTATGTCTCCTCTCGACCAGGTCCACAGGTTGACTGTTTGTTGTGTGAAGAAGTACTTCCTTTTGTTTGTTTCAAACCTGCTGCCTATTAATTTCATTGGGTGACCCCCTAGTTCTGTCTTATTCATATTCTCCACACCAGTCACCAGGGCTGGCTCTAGGTTTTTTGCCGCCCCAAACCTCCGGGAGCACAACTGCCGAAGCAAAAAAAAAAAAAATAGTGTCCGGAATGCTGCCCCTGAAATTGTGTCACCCGAAGCACATGCTTGGTTTGCTGGTGCCTAGAGCCAGCCCTGCCAGTCACAATTTTATAGATTTCTATCACATCTCCTCTTAGTCGTTTCTTGGTAGATTGCTGCTCCAGTTCCCCTCTCCACACACACAGTGCACTCACTGATGCTTGAGTTAACCACCAGCTGAGGAATATGTTTTGTTGCCTTACTATGCCTGCTGTCAGTTACTTCCACTGCTGCCAGTGCTGAAGCTATTTAAGGAGGCAAGACTGCTCCCCTAACTTTCTTCTTTTCAAGCTTGGAGCTTTGTTAAACTGGATCAGCTTCTAGAGGCAAGGGCATTTTGGTCCCATGGAGGAAGGTGATTGGGGGGAGGAGGGGCACTCTGGCTGTTCCTCTATGCAGTGATTCTCCAGTTGCAGCAGAGCCCCAAGCGAGGAAAAACAGCTACAGGAATTTCTCCAAAAGAGAAGAGAAAAAAGGTAGAGAAAGGATAGAAGATAAAAGAAAATCACTGCTGGAAATCCCAGAGATAAAGACTATGATAAAGAAAGAGGAGCTGTAAGGTACACAATAGCCTCTGAATAGGGCCAGACATGTCTGGAGAAAGCTGCCAAGCACATGCAGGTTTCTGCTAACTGACAGGTCTAGCTACCTTTGTTGTGCAAGAAGCAGCAAACACATCATCTCAAAGGAGCACGTTTTCCCCCTATGATCTAACTTGGAATTTGAACTCTAGTCCTCCAGTTGTAAAGTGCCAATAAACTACCCTGTGAAGCCACCTAATCTTTTGTTGTTTGAATAGCAGCTGTTGTCTGAGCATTGAGCTGAATGCCATTCTGCTTTCAGATCTTGAATATGCAGATGGCTTGGTCTTGTTGGCTTCGGTGAATCCCTGCAGCTGATGGCCAGTCTGGTTGGGCAAGAAGCAGTATACGCTGGTCTGGTTATGAATTCAGATAAAACTAAGTACCTGGCTGTTACCATCAAGCATCCTCCAGCTCCGTATTATAGCCCACTGAATATTAACAAGGCAAGACCTTGAACAGGAGGCTGGTAGTGGTGGCAGTGGCTCCCTTATAACCTTTAACTTGGTGGTTAGGGTGCTCACATGGACTGTGGGAGACCACAGTTCAATTCTCCTCTCTGCCTGTTGTGGAGCAGGGATTTGAGAAGGGTCTCCTATGCTAGAGGAAAGCAACAGAGGGTCCTGTGGCACCTTTAAGACTAACAGAGGTATTGGAGCATAAGCTTTCGTGGGTGAATGCCCACTTCATCAGACGCAAGGGCATTCACCCACGAAAGCTTATGCTCCAATACCTCTGTTAGTCTTAAAGGTGCCACAGGACCCTCTGTTGCTTTTTACAGATTCAGACTAACACGGCTACCCCTCTGATACTATGCTAGAGGAGAGCATTTTAGCCGCTGGGCTATGGGCTATTCTAGCATGGGTTTCTAACAGTCTCTCTTGTTGAGCTACTCTGCAGCGTGTAAAATACTTGAATAGTCATTAGCACAGAACGAGAATGCCTCTCTTGCCTGGTGGTTAGCACACTCGTAGGACAGGCATGTTTACCCAAGTTCATGTTGCTGCTCCAATAATTATTTAATTATTTAAACACAGTGAAACAGCTTCAGCAGGAGAGACTGAGACACCTATACTAGAATATTTCATAACCCTGCGAATGGGGCACTCTCCTGCAATATCGGAGTCCTCTGGCTGCTGCTTTGTCTCTCTAGCCCTATATTTCCTTTGCTTTTATTTTTAAAAAGTTCCGGGGGGGGGGGGGAAGGGAATGACTAAAAACAATTTTTTGTCAACTTTTTCAGTTCACCTAAATATTTTGAAATGTTTGGTTCGACTCAAATCCATTTCCCCTTGGTTTTTGGAACTGCCAGCGAATTGAAAAATCAGTTATTCGTTAATTTCTAAATAACCCTCCACTAATAGAATAGAGGCAATAGAGGTGGTATGTTAAGATCAGAGCAATAGGGTAACAAGGTTTCACAGCATCATACATTGATATATTGATACAAAATAACTACTGTTCTTTCCAGTTCAGCTAACTTCCTTCCAGAGTTTACAGCTTCTCCCTGAACCAGCACCACTTGTATTCCATTTCTGTATTTTATGCTTTGTAGGTTCAGATGCTCAGCAAGCAGCATTTCTTTTGGTGAATGGAAATACAGCGTGTATTGTGTTTGCAGAAAAATGGATGGAAAACATAAATGACTTCATAGACTCCTCAGCAGTAGGACCGCAATGTGTATATAAAATGTAAATCATGAGCAGAGAAACTTCATCATCCTGTGCAACTGGCATTTAATGACTGCTTAGTCCTCTGGTCAAATGCTAGCCAAAGCCTTGTTTTTGTCACACTACTCACTCTTCCCCATCTCACTTCTAACAAAGAACATTTGCCCCTTCTTGTCCTAAAATTACAAGGTGTTTTTTTCAGAATAGAAGTGCAGATTTCCAACAAGTGTACAAAGTGAAATTGAAGTCTCAGTACCGTAGCAAAGGAATATGTTATTAATTTGCCTTCAAGACAGATTAAGTTACTTTGTTTAAATACACAGTTTATTCCAAACTACATTAAGGGCTATGGACCTGTCAGTATTATAGTGAGTTAGAGTTGGCAGGAATAATACATTAGAGAGGTGCCATTAGAAAGGTGCATGGAATTGTGTAGCGAGAAGGAAATCAGCAAATACACAATGATGAAAGCTGCCAACTTCCTCTACAAGGCAAGATGCTTTGGGTAGAGCATTTTACATACCTAAGTAGAAGTTAGATACCATCTATCAAATAAGCAAACCTCAGAATACTGTCACAAAATAGCTTAATGAAAATATATTATGTATTTGGGATATCCCCTTTGGTACTCAAACATCTCTAGCATTCTAAAGTGGATTAGATGGATGGATATATAGACCTGAGATTCCACTTTGGGAGTAACTCTTTGCACATATTTATCAGTTTACACCTTCAAAGCACTTTACCAACATTAACTTATTAGGCCTCATGATGTCTCTGTGGGGAAATTGAGATTGAGGGCATCATCTTGAAAAAGCATAGGCCCCTTTTGCCTGCACAAAAAATGTGAGTGCTGTAGCACACTTAGCAGGTTTCAGAGTAGCAGCCGTGTTAGTCTGTATCCGCAAAAAGAACAAGAGTACTTATGGCACCTTAGGGACTAACAAATTTATTAGAGCATAAGCTTTCGTGGGCTACAGCCCACTTCTTCGGATGCGTATAGAG